TCTACAGTGGCACAATTGACATTTTGGATCAGATAATTCTTGTAGAGGGCTCTCTCAAGCAATGCAGGATGTTCAGGAGAATCTTTGTCTTCTACTAACTTGATGACAGTGGCGTGTCCCTTCAAGCTGTTATTATAAAAATGATCTCCAGGTATTGGGAAATGTCTCCTTGGAGGCAAAATTTCACTCTTACTCAAGAATAACTGCCTGAAACAGGTATATAAGTAACATGACCATTTTTTAAAAGTTCAAAAGAGGTGTAAGGGAATCTCCCTTTTTCCACCTAGAGAATATCTCTAACTACCTGGAGATGATGAATACTAAGATAGTCTTTTGTATGACCCAGAATGTTGTTGTCATGCACTTGTGTACATACATCTATTTTGCACAGTCAGGACCATTCAACGTATGCCTTAATTTTTTCCCATTTTAATTATATATCTGTGAACTTTTTGTATGACAATATATACAGATTTGTATCCCTCTATTTTTTTTTATTGGTTGTTCAAAACATTACAAAGCTCTTGACATATCATATTTCATACATTAGATTCAAGTGGGTTATGAACTCCCATTTTTACCCCAAATACAGATTGCAGAATCACATCGGTCACACATCCACGTTTTTACATAATGCCATATTAGTAACTGTTGTATTCTGCTACCTTTCCTATCCTCTACTATCCCCCCTCCCCTCCCCTCCCATCTTCTCTCTCTACCCCATCTACTGTAATTCATTTCTCTCCTTGTTTATTTTCCCATTCCCCTCACAACCTCTTATATGTAATTTTGTATAACAATGAGGGTCTCCTTCCATTTCCATGCAATTTCCCTTTTCTCTCCCTTTCCCTCCCACCTCATGTCTGTTTAATGTTAATCTTTTCCTCCTGCTCTTCCTCCCTGCTCTGTTCTTAGTTGCTCTCATTATATCAAAGAAGACATTTGGCATTTGTTTTTTAGGGATTGGCTAGCTTCACTTAGCATAATCTGTTCTAGTGCCATCCATTTCCCTGCAAATTCCATGATTTTGTCATTTTTTAGTGCTGTGTAATACTCCATGGTGTATAAATGCCATATTTTTTTATCCATTCATCTATTGAAGGACATCTGGGTTGGTTCCACAGTCTAGCTATTGTGAATTGTGCTGCTATGAACATCGATGTGGCAGTATCCCTGTATCCCTCTATTTAATGTCTGTAAAGAATTTCATTATATGGATGAATTCTAATTTTTTAACCAGCTGTCTGTGTACATGCCGTAACTAAGTTTTCATTTTTCCAAATGATGCCAAGTAAACATTCTCATGTTTTGATGTCAAATGCTACATGATTATAACTGTAAGATAAAAATTAAGAGTACATCTTTAAAAGTGGAATCACTGGGTCAAAGGAAAAGTACATTAAACATATTTGTAGACAGTGTTGTATTACCAGTTAATTGCCTTTTCTGCCTGAATATATTGAAGAGTTAATCTTATAAAATTTTAAAACTCAGACTGGAGATGTAGTTCAGAAGCTGAGCATGTGCATAGCATATGTGAAACCCTAGAAAACCCACAAAAACTTAAATTATAATTCAGTAATTCTCATAACGGGATATGCATGGGTATTGGTCTGTCTGTATCTGTTGTTTGCTTTCTTTCCTGAAACAAAGGATGCTCTCTTTTGGCTAATCAAGATTTTAGAATATTTCAGGAATTTTTCTTCTGTTTTATGTTTGAATATATTTTTTAATATATTTGTTCTTTTTTTGAGAAGTATACTTTCTTAGGAATTTTTTTATTATCTTTGAAAGATTCTTGTTTCTCTTAAAAAACAATATTAACACTTTGTTCTTTGCTTAGCATTGTTTTCTTAAGACCAGCCTCCTATTCCTAATTTCAGCAATGTCAATTCTGATTTTTATTTCCTTCTCTATGGCTTTAATCTGTAACATTAAGCTTTCCTTATTTTCTTCCTTCTTTATCTCTTGTTTCAGAGAAAAATAATTTTCTTTAGCTTGTTTAGGCTCACAAAAGGTATTTGAAAATTTCTTCTGCTCCCATGACCTGGTTCTTCTGTAGAGATTATTTCATATGCACTTATCTTATTCTTATTTTTTCTGTATTATTATTATTTTTTTAGGAAGTCTAGAGGAGTAGGGTTTCAAAGTTGTGTTCAGAACACTTTCTCATCAAATTTTCTGTTTCTTCTCCACTGGTCATCTGTCACCTTGCAGTAATAAGTACCTCCCCCACTACCATTTTTTTCCTCTTGGTAGAGGAACCTCTATGCTTCACAGGGAATTTATGTGTGTTATGAATTTTCTGTTGGATGATTTTGTAATTTGTCCTCATCAGTTTACCTTGATTAGTGTATGCCAAGTTGATTGTCATGTATATTTCTACTATGTCCTTCCATTCTCCCTGCTTGATTCTTAAAAATCTTTTTAAAAATTATATATATATATTGCCCTTTAAGTTCAATTTGCCTGCTGCACTAAATTTGTCCAGAGACCTCAGTCACTCCTTCTCTACTTCTATATTTTGTCCTCTAATTAAAAAAAAAAAAAAAAAGAGTTGGTTAGTTGGTTGTTTTTTTTTTATTTCATGGAAATATTTTACTCTTAATCTATAGATTATGCTTGTTATTGACATTTTACCTTTTATTTGATCTAATCACATATTTATTAGTATCCATTCTATATCATATATGGTTTTAATTAAAGCAGTCTCATTGGTTAACTGAAAATGGTCTATCCTACTTTTTTCTTCTCAGTTTTATTTTTGTTGATTTGAGTTAATGGCAGGGGAGGAAAAGCCACTAGAAATATCACACCATACCCCCTTCACCAAGACAACTTAACTGACTAAGCAATATAATCAGATGCTTACTAGATATCCATAAGTGTTGGCTAATTATTTGAATGGAACTCAGAAGTATAGAACAGTCTTAGGAAAATTAATTGTAAACCTTTGAAATGGTTTACAGATATATTTGAATCAGATGTGTATCCAGGTACTTATTGCACTAAAAGTTTGATTCAAGTATTGATTGCCAATGTCTTGAGTGGTAAAAAGACAATAGATTGAAATTGTGGGTTTAGGGATGGGTGATATTTGAATCAGTATTATAAGAATATTCTGAGTGTAGATTATAGCATGAACCTTTGGTTCTCAGTTGTCCTCCAGTATTTCTTCATCAGGCCTCTTTGGGACTTCTTTGGATGATAGCAAAATTAAGAGCAAATTGGATTTTTTGAAAATCAACAAGCTTATCTTGGATGTAGGAGGGGGTCTCCTAGTGATCTTTTAAAACTTGGGTATGAGATGATGAAAGCTATGTTTAAGAAAGACATCATTTAGTGATTGAACCGAGACACTTAATTTTATCCCACTGGGTCTTGGTGAGTCCCTATTTATACCATGTGTCGTAGTGGATATGGGTATATATAAAGCAGCATAGGGAATGATTTCTGTCTCAAGAAGCTTGGACTGGTGGAGTTATGAAGCTGATTTTGAAAAATATTTGATTTAGTAAAATTTCAGGGCCAGAGTTGATTTCTACTCAGGTTATTATGGTGTAGTTATTCTGTTTTGAATCAGGTTCTACCAAAATAATGAATTTAGTCTACCATGAGTTAGCCCAAAAGTAGATTCCATGATGTTTTAATCAGCTATTTCACTGCTGTGACCAAAAGACCTGACAGGAACAATTTTAGAGGAAAAATTTATTTGGGGGCTCATGGTTTCAGAGGCCTCAGTCCATAGATGGCTGATTCTTTCCCTAAGGGCCCCAAGTGAGGCAGAACTCATGGTGGAGGGTATGGCAGAGGAAAGCATCTTAAAACATGGGACCAGGAACAGAGAAAGAGAGTGTGTGTTCTTTCACCAAAAACAAAATATATAACCCAAAGGCATGCCCCCAGGGACCCACCTCCTCCAGTGATACCCTATCTGCTTACAGTTACCACCCAGTTAATCCCTATAAGGGATTAATGCACTGATTAGGTTAAGGCTTTCATAACCCAATCATTTTACCTCTAAACTTTTTTGCATTATCTCACACATGAGCTTTTGGGGGATACCTAGTATCTAAACAATAACACATTATTTGTATAGGATTTTTAAAAGTCTACCCCCAAATCATTAATATCCTGTCATATCAAATTAGCTGCACAAGAATGTTTCCCCATATTTCTGTATTTGCTTCCTCTGAAGTCCAGTTTTTGCCCACCCTCCTGATGACTCACTCCTCTTCCACCCCACTCTTACTGTCTCCATATCTTCTTCTGATCATACCTGAGAGATCTTTCCTTCTCTAAAATTATTGTATTTCCTTGTTTTGCAGCACTAATTAATCCCTGGCACTTTGTTCTGTATTTATTTTTATGTTAGTTTTGCCTAGTCAATCATAATTATAGACTAATTGAAGACATGAACAATATTCTAACGTTTTATTTATTTATACATTCAGTGTTGCTGCAAAAGATGATGAGAGCCTGTTTCTTTCATATTATTTGTTTTAATATTGGCCAAGGAAGAGAACATACAATTATGGAGGGTCAGTATTTTGTGAACTAAAAACACACACAACCAAGAGAGGAGTGTTTGCTGTTGTTTCTTATTTATGACTTTTATCTATTTGAAAGTCCTACAAATATAAATCTTATTTATCAAATCAACTTTACAGGAAAAAAGTAACATGAAGTTCAGACTCTTCCAGTCCATGAGAATGTGTTGACACAGACATAGTAAATATAAACCCAATTGTTTTGTTTTAAACTTATGCATATATCTTATAAAACCAATATGTCTTAAATATAAATTTTCCTTAAAATATTAATATTAGTGATATTGGGAATTTATATCCTATGAAAGAACAACTGCTATGGTCCTGGGGCTCATTATCCCTTAGCAGCTGTGTCCAGCTGGTGGTCCACATTCCCCACTACTTCTTCGGTGAATGGAAACGTTTAGGTCAATATTGATATAAAACTTCATGAACTTTCTTCTCTTTCAGCTTTGGTTCGCCTTTGTTAATGGATTTTCTGGGCAGATTTTATTTGAACGTTGGTGCATCGGCTTGTACAATGTGGTAAGCATTCTCCACCTCTCTCTGATAGCATGCAGGACTGCGGGACATTCCTTCACTGTTTATGTCTGGGAAGTGTATCTAAGTCAATCATCTGTGTACTTAGCAGGCAGCACAAATATATCTTTAGGGCCTTTGTTGCTTCAGCACATCCTGCAGAAGCCCAAACTCTCCACACATGGTTTCAATCATAGCAGATCATTCTTGAATAACCCATGAAGTTATTAACCCATATATCTTGATAATAGACCCTTGTTGCCCCCTTATTAAATAAATGCCTGCTCAACAATTCATGATTTTAGCTCAAGTTAAAATTTCTGAACTACATCTAAACTCACTTTACTTCATAATTTTACTTCTGAATTCTTAATCGTAGACACAAAAATATAGAATATGTGACCACTACTGTCCTTCCAGAAAGAGTATCTTTCCTTGTAGAAGGACATTTTCTTCCACAGTTGGTGTTCAGATGATGAGTTCTGATTTCCAGCTGTCATGTCCAGCTTATTTGGTAATTTTCATGATTTTCAAGTACTTTTCATATTACTTGACTGTGATGAATTCAAAGGCTGGAAATTAATATAAACTATAAGCTAAAATGGCTCAGTAGCTGTTTGGCTTTCTTTCTTTTTTTTTTTTTTTTTTTTTTTTTTTACTGGGAGGAAAAAAAAAACTGAGAGGCTTGTTTCTGAGTCCTTTAGAGACCCCAGAATGGCCCATCTCTTGAGTTGCTCTTCTTGCTCTGGACTCTAACCCTGGCATCCTGTGCCCCATGGGCGTTTCCCTTTTTGAAGCAGCTATCACAGATAGGTGTAGATGGAAGTTACCAGATGGGCAATAATATAACTTATGATGCTATAAATATTTATAGTGTGTGTATACTTCAGTGGCCAGATATTCATGCTGCCCATACATTCAGCCCTCATTTTTTTGAGTAGCACCCATGTGGAGTGCTGGGTAAAAAATGCTGAGTACAACAGTTTATCCTAATCCCATGTAACTCACAGGTTAAGGGGGTCAGAGGTGCACTTAGTCAGTGGTGAGGCTGGGTTCAGATCTTGAGTTGAATCGTGATGGCCCATTAGTGTCTGTGTTACTGGCTACAAAAATGCACTATGCTCTTGTGCTGATGCCCTAAAAGACAAAGACAACTGATAATGAGAGAAGAACTACGTTGACATGCTGGAAAACCTCCTTTAACAGCTTACTCCACAATTAGGGTCTCAAGGGCTTCCTTTCTATGTGCTAAAGGGAGACTAGAGATCATTAGCTTTGTAAGACTTGAAACTATTTTGAGTAGGTTAACCCATTTTGTCCCATTGTCCCAGATGCAGAACATCTGTGAAATCTTATGTATAGTATATAACATACAATATGATTATAGTAATAATAATATAATATTAATATAATAATGTATATAAGTCCTAGGTTATGATTTCCAACCTATTTTAATGTGTCTACATAATTTTGTTGAAATATAGGTAGAATTAAAAACTTAGGACTTAATAACTTAAAGTTATGCTGCGATTTTGGTGGGAGAACATGTGGGCTACTCTACATGGTTTAGCACCAAATGTCATAGAGTTGCTATCTTGTGCAAATCCATGCCACACACCTATTATTTTAGTCAATTAATTTAGGCACAGGGGATTAAACTGAAGGGTACTTTACTACTGAGCCACATTCCCTGCCCTTTTTATTTTTTATTTTGAGACAGGTTCTAGCTAGGTTGCTTAGGGCCTTGCTAAGTTGCTGAGGCATGCCTCAAACTTGCAAGCCTCCTGCCTCAGCCTCTCAAGTTGCTAGCTGGGCTAAGGATATAACCCAGTGGTAGAGTGCTTGCTTAGCATGCATGAGGTCCTAGGTTCAGTACCCATCACAGAAAGAGAGAGAGGGAGGGAGGAAGAAACAGCCCTAGGAGGCTCTGCTGTAGAGTTAAGGACAGGAGGACTGGATTGCATGATACCTGCTTATAAGATGAATGGATTTTAGCCCTGTTTTAATGATCACGGCATGGGGTTAGGTTCTTTTCTTCCATGAGGCCTTGGGCAATTCAAATGAATTCAACAAATTTTATTAGGTTCCTGTTCTACATAAAATGCTGATAAGCTGAGACACAGTATTGGTCAAATTAAGGCCCACCGAACAGTTGTGGAATAATAACCAGGGATTGTTTGGAAAGTACAGATCCCTGAGCTCCACAGCAAGTTAACAAAGAGTGTCATAGAGATACTGCCTTTTTTATTATTATTATTATTTTAAAGAATGACCTTTTATAATTGTCAAAATGTGCTTGCTAATCATAGCAAACTGGAAATTACAAATAAGCAGAAAAGAGCAAACTAAATTTCATTCATAATTCTACTACACAGAAGTGACCAATATTATAATTTTGCTATGATTCTTTCCAGAAAAAATAAGATTACATGGCAATACTGGTCTGCTGCCTAATATTCCTATTAGATTATGTTGGGAATGAGATACTGCCTTTTAAATGCACTTTTCTGGTGATTATTATATACATGAAAGTTTAAAAAACATATTGAGTTTGAAGAATTGGAAATAGTTTTTTTTTTTTTTTGCCTTTATGTGTCCCCTGAGCTATAGAGGAAAGGACATTATGACATAGTAGTGGATCACAAGGTGAAATGATCTTGGGTTACCTCAAAGCAGGCACTGAAATGAGCTGCTGCAAAGAGCTGGTAAGAAAAGTACTTCCAATTAGGACATCAAGGGATCTGTGACTGCCTCTCTCATTTGAGAACACAGCAGTGTCTTAGTCCACTTTCTGTTGCTATAACAAAGTATCTAAGACTGGGAACTTTATAAAGAAAATAGGTCTGTTTAGCCCACATTTGAGGAGCTGACAATCCAAGATTGGACAGCCCCATCTGCTCAGATTTAGTGAGGACCCCTTTGGCTGAATCACAACAGGACAGAAAAGTAGAAAGGAAAATGGCTACATGCAGAAGAGACCAAGTGTATAGGGTAGTCTCACTGTATAACAACCCATTCTCAACAGAACTAACTCATTCCTGCAAGAACTACATTAATCCCCCCTAAGAAGGAGGCCCCCCCTAACCTAATTACCTTCCACTGGGCTCACCACTCTGGGTACCAAGGCTCTAGCAAGTGAACCTTTGGAGGACACACTCAAACCGTACCCAAACTGAAGCAGGGAGTTTTGCCCTTTTTTCATGACTTGTATATGAAATAAATTGAAATGTAAAGAGAAATTGAAAAAAAGTATAAATAAATCACGATTTATTTATCAATCATTCACATCTTGCCCCCATTTTCATTGTTTCTTCACATATGTACACACATGCATACCACATATGCACACACACACACACATTTATTTCTGAAGCAGTTGAGTGTGTGTCAACAGACACCATGCCCTTTATTGCCTAACACTTCAGTGCATAATTACAAAGATCTTTTCTTTTGTAACCACAGTATAATGATCATCAGAAAATTTTAACGTATATACAATACATTGTTAATCTGTATTAGTCCATATTTCAATATTGCCATCATTGTTCTAGTAGCATCCTATTTACCAGGTTTTTTTTTTTTTTTTTTTTTCTTGTCCACAATCATTCCAGAGATCCTAGTACAAGAAGTAGTTTGTGACATGTAAAGCAGTTTGCCAAGAATCTCTCTCCTGGGCTGGATTGCCCCTTGTCATTATATTTAAACAGTGTTTCTCTTCTACTTTTTCTTTAACTTATATTTTATGTTTGACTCTTCAAACAAACTAGAGGAGCAAATCATTGTATCTCAATTTAATTCCCATAGCAAGTGAAAGAGTATTAAAACAGACTTGAAAATGATGCATCTCCCTCAGTACTGAGTTAGTACTGTCCCACTGAATTCTCATTACATTAGTCCTCTTCTCTGCAATTTCACTTTCTGCGGTTGCACTTACCCACATTCAGCTACAATCTGAAAATATTAAACACAAAATTCCTGATATAAATTAGTCATAAGATTTTTCTTTCTTTTTTTTCAATATCGGGGATTGAACCATGCATGCACTCATGCATGCTAGGCAAGCACTTCACCATTGAGCCATATCCCCAGTCCTTTTAGGGTCTTGCTGAATTGCCCATGCCTTGAACTTCCGATTTTCTTGCCTCCACCTCCTGAGTGGGTGGGATATAGACATGCACCATGGTTCCCAGCTAGTAATTCATAACTTTTATTGTGGCATATTTTTATAGTTGTTCTCTTTTATTAGTTTTTGTTGACTTCTTATTATGCCTAATTCTAAATTAAACTTTATCACAAATTTGTATAAATAAGAAAAACCACAGTATATGTAGGGTTTAGTATTCTGTGAGGTTTCAGGCATCCACTGGTGGTCTTGGAACTTATCCCCTGAGGAGAAGGAGTGCAATATACCCATAGTCCACTGTGTCATTTAATTTTGTGGGTAGGATGATAAAGGCCACTCAGGGACAAAAGCTACTAGGACCAGATGGGTTTCAACTAAATTTTATATACTTTTTAGTGATGAGATAACTATAATTTATTTAAACTGTAGTGGAAAATGTATCCTATTATTAAGCCAGTATAATTTGAAGAAGAAAATTATGAGAAGGCCTCACTTATAAATAAACACAAAAATTCTAACTAAAATATTAGCTAATAGAGTTCAACAGTGTCTTAAAATAATAAAGTATTTGACAAGTAGGACTAATTTCAGGAATACTGGAGGTTTGAAATTTAAAAATCTTTCTATTACTATGTCGACAAGGTGAAGAAAAACATCCCATCAGTAGATGCTACAAAAGCATTTGAAGCAATTCAGCTGCCATTCCTGAAATAGGAACTCTAAGTAAAATAGAAATAGAAAGAAGTCAATTAACTATATTTCAGACTATTCACAAAAATAGTGAATAGTAGCATGCTGCCGTAAATGGTAAAATCCTGAAACTATTTCATTTTGAATAAGAAATTAGTCAAGATACCTGCCATCACTGTATAATTCAGCATTGTTCTGGGTTTTTCAGCAATTGCCAAGATTAAATGACTGTTACAAATATTGGAAAAACAATGAATGATTTCTGTGGTTAAACAGTATGCATACAAAAACATGGGCATGTACATATGTTGATATGTGACTGTTTATCTAGAAAACCCAAAAGATTACTAATAGAGAAATATTAGAATTATAAGAGAATTTGATAAGTTGACCAGAAAAATAATAAATATATAAAAATCAATAGCTTTTAAACATCCTAGCAATTAGTATCATTATTTATTTATTTACTTGCTCTGGCAATCTAAAAATGCAAAGAAAATAGTGGTTTTTTCAAAATTGCAGTTAAGCTGGGGATGTGACTCAGTAGTAGTGCATGTGCCTAGCATGTGTAAGGCCCTGGATTCACTCCCAGCACTGAAAAATTTTTTTAAAGTTGCAATTAAAATTATATATTGCATAGGTATAATTTTATAGTACCTTTATGAAAAAAAAAAAGTCTTACTGAAGGATACAAAACAAAATTTCAACAAATGGAAGGCATGATATTTTTCTACATGAGAAGACTTGGTATTATTAAAGAGTAAAGTCTTCTAAAATTAACATGTAAATTTAAATTTATGTAATTCCAAAGAGAGAAGCTGCATAAAACTATACATGGTGTGATGGAATTAATGAGTATTTTAGAATACATATGCAAAATAGGTTAGAAAAGATCATAGAGTAGACTTATCTTTACTAATATCAGGCTATACTCTAAAGTCAGCATAATCAAATCAGTATGTTACTGGCACAGAATTATACAAAGAAGTCAGAGATTCTAGAACTGGATTCCAGGTTTATGTTGTAGAATTATAATACATGAGAAATTAATAAGCCTTAGTGGTGATTTTTCAGCTTAGGGGGAAAACTCTGGATTAATGTATTCTCACAACTTGTTCATTATCTGGGGAAAAAATGGACTTCTATCTTATATCAAAGACTTATATGTGAAAAATAAAACTGTAAAAATCCAGAAAATTACATGTAAGCTCCAGGGAAGAGATACTACTATAACACAGTTAGATACTCCAAAGTTATTCTCAACCATTTAAAAATTGAAAGCTTTTTGTTATGCAAAAAACCCATTAAAATTAACAGACAAAAATGCATTTAATTTTATAACATAAAACATTAGGTTTTATTATCTATTATACTCAAAGAATTCTTAGAAAAGGGCATAAGCCACAAATAGATAACAAAGGACCTGACTAGGTGTTTTACAGAGTTGCAAGTCCAGATGACCAACAAATATATGAAAACATGCTCCAACTAACTGATAGGGAAACGTAAATTTTTAAAAGTAACAGTTAATATCTTTAAATTTTTGGACTGGAGAATATTAAAAGATCGACATAACTGTTGCGGATAGAAAAACAGAGAAAAGATTACTGTTATCCTTTGCAAGGGTAGACATAAGTGATTGGAACCTGTTTTGAAAGCAACCTAGCAACATCTCCTAAAATTAAAAATACATGTGTCCTTTTACTCAGAAGACTTACTTCTGGGACTTCTTTCCATGGAAATAAAAGAAAAAGTGTATACGTTATAATATGATAGAAGTTATTGCATAATATTTGTGGTAACAAAAAGCTGGAAGCAAAATGAATGACTGTCAGTGTGCAAATGGCTTAAAGAGTATGGTGCATCCATGCTCTGACTGATTATGTGAGCATTTAAAAGACGCGTTAGTGTCAAACCCGAGGAACTTTGGAGGGCTTTCCATGATGTTTAGCAATAAAAGTATGATGAAGAAAAATGTATGCGGCATTCCCTTTTGTAAAACAAATCACAGTCTCCAACCAGTCTATGAACGTGAGTGCAGGGCATGCTAAGAAGGGTGAAAAATATGGTCAGGCCTATGGGCTGTTAGCCCAGTGATGAAGTGGGGAGGACTCGAAGTGGATGGAAGGAGGAAATCAAGTGAAGAGGGGAAAGAGAAAAGACTTGCATGTTAGCACAAGTAGGTGTCCATGCCAAACAGTGAGGTGAAGCTGTGTACTCAGAGAGTATGCAGAGCTTCTGAGATGTTTGATAGGAGCCCCTTCTTCTAGCCATAACATAGACAGCTTTTCTTACTTGGAGGGAAGCAGGTACCACCCTCCTCAATATCCTCCTTGAAGACTTTGTAGCACTTTGAAATCCCAGGCTGCTTTCCATCTGCTCTCTGCTGGAAGAGGAGAGCTGGGAGTTTGACGGGCCTTCCTCACTATACCTCTGATTGTTTGATCCTAATGGACTTGGGAAAGGCTTATTTCTCTAGCCACATACCCAAGTCTCCAAATAACTGATGTGAGCTCAGGATTCTCTCAGAGATGTACATCTGATTCCCACAGGCCAAAAAGCCTGCTGGGTTGGTGGGCAGGGATTTGATCCACTTAGATGCTAAGCAGTGAGTGAGTCAGTGTTTTAGCCAGCTTTTCATCTCTGTGACCAAAAGACTTGACAAGAACAATTTTAGAAAAGGGAAAGTTTATTTGGGGGCTCATGGTTTCAGAGGTCTTAGTCCATTGACGGCCGTTCCTTTGCTCTGAACCTAAGGTATGGCAGAACATCCCTGTGAAAGAGTGTGGTGGGTTTAAGTGGCTCAGGACATGGGACCAGCAAGGAGGGAGGAAGGGAGGGAGGTAGAGAGGGAGAGGTAGAGGGAGGGAGGGGGGCGAGGGAGAGAGAGAGAGAGAGAGAGAGAGAGAGAGAGAGCGAGCGACTGAGCTAGGGTGAGCCACTAACATGTGCCCCAGAGGCACATTCCCAGTGACCCACCTCCTCCAGCCACACCCTACCTGCCTACAATTACCAGCCAGTTAATCCCTATCAGGGATTAATGCACTCCTAACCCTAACATTTCACCTCTTAACTTTCTTGCATTATTTCACATGAGCTTTTGAGGGACACCTCACATTCAAATTATAACCGTCAGTCTTTCTGAACTATGCCAGAACCAAATAAGATAATGACCCATGGGTGTTGGGAGCTGCCACATAGGAGCTGAGCACCCTTAGCCTTGAGCAATGGAGGTGTGAGACTGGTTTCCAGGAGGAAGCAGGTGGATCTCATCTCGGCTCAGCAGGGGAATGAAGCTCTGGGAGTGGGTGTCACCCAATGAGACTGGGCTACACTCCCCTGACACCCAATCTCTTGCCTCATTTGGGTGGAACTTTCTTGAGTGTCTTCCCTCAATAAATAGGGCTCTGGCATTCTCTCACCCTCTTTTGTCTGCCTCTCTTGCTTCCCTTGTGGGAGCCAGGGCCGACGAGCCATCGCTGAACCCCCAAGAAAAAGGTATTTTCTCTGTCTCTGTGTGATTATTCAGTGCCAACCCAGTTCACCTGGAGTGAACCTGACTGATTTATTCACGTGTCATGGCACATGGGGCCACAGCATATCCCAGACTGAAATGACATGTTTCCTCCAGATCCTTTCTTCAGCACATAGCTTTACCTTTCCACCACCTAGAGAGTACAGGTACAGGTGTCAGCATCTTAGAAGGCACCAGCTGCCCTAGAACTCGGGGTCCCAAGAGATTAAATGGTTTCCTCCCATCCTTGTACTGTGCACTCAGCCAGCCATCATCCTATGTGTCTTACAAGTTCCCCTCGAATGTGCTCATGGATGCTTTGGAGCTCTGTAAGGAGAATTCTTCTCAAGGGAGTGCTTTTTGTAGCATCCATCTGTATCCCTGAATATCCTGCCAAATTCTGTAGGTCCAATATGGTGAAGGTCAGAGGCTCTGATGCAAGAATCAATTCCTGACTTTTCCTTCTCCTCCATTTTCCCCCTGCCCCCTCTCCATCTCCATGAGTAATTTTGCAGAGCGCTGCGTGTGTGTGTGTGTGTGTGTGTATCCCTGCTGCCCTGGTTCTTACCTCTGTAGTAGCCAGAGTTTCGAGAAATCTGCTTCCTCTTCTTTCATGTGTTTCTAAATCTCTGTATTCCTAGAGTGGCACAGTATCTGGGCCACAGTTCATTCACAATAAATATCTGTTGGATGAATAAATGTATGAAGTAGCTTGTGCTTCCTAAAATTTGAGGATAAAAGCAGGGTGGGAAGTTTTAAAAGTGTGCATCAGCTCAGCGCTAACAGAAAACATGACACTTCCTGGAGCTATGGTGTGATTCTCCATTGCTGTTCATTCTACAAAGAAGGGCCGTTGTTAACTTAACAAGATTTCTTGGCACATCCACTATTTATAATGCTGTTTTTACTGTTGAATGTATCCATTTTACACAGATTAACAATAAAAAGTGGTCCTTTGTATGTTTTCTTTGTTTGGAGGGTGTCTGGGGAGTTGTGAATCATGGAGTCTCAGGTTTGGACTTGACTGAAAATTAAGTCATCATTCCAGAGAACTAGAACACTGCTCCTGTGTGGATCGGAAGGGCATCTCTTAATGGCTCATTGTCTTCACACAGATTTTCACCGCGTTGCCACCCTTTACCCTGGGAATCTTTGAGAGGTCTTGCAGTCAGGAGAGCATGCTCAGGTTTCCACAGCTCTACAAAATCACCCAGAATGCTGAAGGCTTCAACACAAAGGTAAACGTTGCATTTACAGAGCTGTCCCCTCAGAAGAGTGTAGCAGAGTGCAGCCTGCCTTCTGAGGTTCAGCTCCAGCCATCTTATATGTGACGCTTGAGAGAGAACATTTGAGAAGCAGTGAGACTATGACCCACAGCCATTTCATACAGCAAGCCCAGAGAACTCAAGATGCCTTTCTGAGGTGCTTCCCATGTCCTATGGAGCGCTTCTTTAAGTTCCAGGAGGCCAACCCATTTCCCTCCTCTCCACGTAGGTCCCTAATATCAGTGGGGCCTTAGCACTCATGTTCCCCTTCCTTCAGGATAAGCCTTACGTTTTCAAGAGCCCTGGAGTGAGGCTGACTGGGACCTTGCCTAGACATTGCTGGGGTTTTCATTTTAAAGAAAATACTTATTTAGCTAGAATGACTGGATACAAACACCTGGATCAAGTCAGTCATGAATTTTTGTTTGTAACTTTTGTATTCTGTTTGTTTTCTTCAGACTGTAAGAAAAAGAAAGGATCTAGGCACAAGTTGAATATCCCTTAAAATACCCCTGAAATTCTTGGGATCAGAAGTGTTTTCAACTTTGGATTTTTGTATTGTGGAATATTTGTATGTACATAGTGACATATCTTAAGGATGAGATCCAGGTCTAAGTGAACAATTCACTCATGTTTTATATATACCTTATATACATAAACTGACAGTAATTTTATACAGTATTTTTAATAATTTTGGGCATGAAAACTGTTTCAGGGTGTGGAATTTTACACTGTGGCATCACATCAGGGCTCAAAAAGTTTTAGATTCAAGAACATTTTGAATTTTCGATTTTTGGATTAGGGATGCTTGGCCTATGTAGATATATCCTCAGAAGACCCAAGCAGGATCTGGCTTGGGTATGATAGGGACCAAAAAATCTTGTATGTCAAGGAGAGCCTGTTGCAGAGCCTGCAATCACACCAAGAGTGGGAGAGTGATTGAATGCTGCATGCCCAAAGGGAAGGCATGTACCTCACCTGGAGGAGGCAGGATGTGAGCACAGCTGCGTGGCCCCAGGTCTGTGCAGGACGGAATTAGGAAGCTGAAACAGCAGTCACTTGCCCAATTCCGTTGCAATACTGAGTACTGGCTGTGGTTGCAATCTGCACAGGTGGCACTGGGTCCTTGGTAGAAGGACTTGGTGAGCTAATTCTCCAAGCTCGGTAGTAGAACTGCCTCAAGAGGCCCTTCTTCTGAGCCAGATGTTACTCATAGTTGGCCTTCACAGCTGCTTATGCTTAGGCCAGTTTAACAGGCATAGCCAAGGCTGGAAAAAAATTAAATGGGATCCTATTAATTATACTGTCTTCCATACTCAGAGAGACTTGGGTGACTAATTTTATCAGTCTTTGTTTACTATGATTCTATTTATGGGAAAATAAGACCTATTTTCTCTGCATTTCTTACATAAATCAAATGTGTTTTTGATAGAGTTTGAATTAAAAAGCCTTTTAAGATGGGAAATAAATAGGGAATGAACCCACCTCCAAAATAGTGATACCGAGTATGCCCTGAGACATTTGCAGTCACTTTGCTTTGGAGTTTTTTATTTGTTTGTTTGGTTCCTTGATTTGGTTTTGCTTTGGGTTTTAGTTTTGGTTTTGTTTGGTAGAGAGGTCAGGCAAAAAGTGAAAACAAATATGAATATTTAAAATGGGGAGGTATTTTTATATAACAATATTTTTCTTTATTTTTCTGTTGTCCCACCACTACTTAGGATCAAACTATATGAGAGTTCCCAGAACAACTTTAGACCTTTAAATACATTTAATCTGACTCTAATTGTTCCACCATCTCAGTAGTTAAGAATGAGACTTAAGGAGTTAGGAGTATAGCTCTATGGTGAAGCACCAGCACCAAACTCTGAAATGCATTAATGAAACTAGTTTAGAATAAACTTCCTGTTCCCTCAAATAAAACAGAATTTTTTTTTAATGTGCATGTATTAGCCAAACCCAAAACTGAAAGAAAAAATTAAATGGCAAGGATTTTAAGCAGAAAAACAAGAGAATGGCATGTGAGAATTTACATGTAAAATGCTTTTTAATGGTTTCAAAAAGGAAAGATTTGATCTCTTATTAGCAATTTTGACCTAATGCCCTTTTTCCAGATGTTCCTAAAATGTTTGTCTTAAGATGCTAAAGAAAACTCACTGCAACTCACTTTTCAAATGTGGATGGATTGTGTATTGGTCTGTATATAGGTGGATATATCCTTAGGTCTTCTTAGTAAAATAGTATTATGTGGAGAGAGTTCAGTCATTTGCATGTTAATATGAGGAAATAGCTGTTTGGGGGGGCTTTTTAAAATTTGAGACTAGTGTCCTCCTCCTGGAGCCTTCACAGCCCGATGTTTGTTGAGAGCTGCACACAGAGGTAGAGAGTTCCGTCCACTCTGACTGTCTTGGTTTGTTTTTCTGCAGGTTTTCTGGGGTCACTGCATCAACGCCTTGGTCCACTCCCTCATCCTCTTCTGGTTTCCCATGAAAGCGCTGGAGCATGGTAACAGCTTTATGATTCAACTGTCAGCAAGTAGCTTTGCACCCCGTCTGCTGCCGGCATGTTCATGACTTTCTCCCTAGTTTTACACAATGAGATCACAAGAACACATTAGAGGAAAAAAAAAAAAATAAAAAAATATATATATATATATATATATAAAATTTATATTTATAAAATATATAATTTTAAAATATATTTAAATTATATATTTTTTAAAATATATGTATATATACAAATATATATATACATATATGTGTGTATATATATATATTTGAACAATAACTCTTACCAAGTAGAATTCTAACTTAAGAGGTTTTATCAGGTCAACTTTGAGACTCCATTTTTTTCTAATTGACTGGATGATTTAAATACTAGGAATTCTAAACTCAGTTTGTAATAACTATTTGAGTCTGGCCTTGAAGAAGAATGCTATACTATCATGAAATCTCTTGCCCATGTGTTTGAAATTCTGTTAATTTCTTGAGCTTTCATTTTTCAAGCTTCTTATACCTCTGTACAGAATCACTCAAATCTTGTAAGAGTTTAGTCTTATTCCTACACCTTATGAAGCTATACTTTGAGAATGAATTCTCCAGATGGGTTTTAGTTCTTTGCCACAGCTAGAAGAGGATGAGTGAGAACTCTGACAGCCTCCGGGTTTATTCATACTTCTTAATGCCTCCAAAATGTGGCCTCCACGTCAGGAGGTGGACTCTGAGTCTCAGAAAATGAAAATGTATCATAAGAACACTGCTCTCTCATCCCTCTCAAATAATAATAATCCTCCTGGGAAAAATTACTCCAAACCTTGACTAGACAAGGCCTTTGATTGTTCAAAGAAGCAAAGAATATAAAGTTTCCAAGCGTCTTTGTTGCTGTGTCAGTGTGTTTTATGCTTCAAACAGAAATGATTCATCTTCACTGATATTCTTTAACCTATTAAATTCGGACAGAGAAAATGCATGCACAGAAATTTATTATGCCCTCTGACCTGTTCTTTCAATTTCATCAGAACTCCTTTTCTGTCCAGGGACCTTCAGTCTTTAGATCAGTAAATAGAATTTTCTGCTTCTAGACCTTCCCCGCAAAAGAACATCTTAGTGAATTCAATGTCTTTTACTTCTCAGGCTTTTCTGGGCTTCATCTTTACTCAGTGTTTTATTTGTTTTAAAATGGTTTTAGCAGTAAGGGTTTGCCAGTAGAAGAACATTAGGTATGATTTTGTTCCCAAAGCTGTGACATTTTGATGGTAGAAGTAGAAGCAGCCATTGTCATGCCACGATGGACCAGTGAACATTTTAGCAATTGTCCTTTTGTACCTGATCCCAGACTCATAGGAAGAGAGAGCAGATAGTATGGACTGGCCTCAGTGCTATCTCCAGACCCTTTGTTCTGAACTGGACACTGGAACTGTTTCCAAAAGTTTTTTTGCCTTTGGACTGTAAACCATTTTTATAAGACATTTATGGCCTGCTTTGACAGGAATTAATGTGGCTGCTCTACAGTAGGGAGAGTGGCTCTCTATTCCTGGAGTGAGGATCACGTGCTTGTAGCTGATGGTGGGATTGCTAGAGTTTCCCCAGATCCATTATGGAAATCCATTCACTCACCGAATGTGGTCTATGTTTAAAAGGCAGTAGACTCCTAGCAGTTGCCGATGTAACTAACAGAAATCATCAAGTGAATTTTAAGTTAGGTCCTGCCTCCCTTAACTATTTCTCCCAAATCTTTCTTTTGGCCTAACAGCCACACAAGAGAATTTTTTTCTGTTTTAATTATTGTTACCATCATCATCATCAATGTCACTATTTTATTGTATTTACTGATCCTTCAGCATAGGGTTTTCTTTTAGCTGTGCTTTAAACAACATGTAAATAAAAATGTTTAAGGTGAAATAAACTAAAAGTATTAAGTTCATTGGCGTAGAACTAATGGCATTGTTCTTGCCATTAGTTGACCCTCTCTGACAAATTGAATGAATATTTTAGAATTAATTTCTACCTTCCCTATATTAGTACAGAATAAAAGCATTACATTACTACTTACAGACCATGTTCATTCATGTAATATTTATGTCTAAAACACTGCAGTGGATTTCAAGGTGGTCGGTGAATGTATCAGTGTTGGTCTTATTAGTTTGTAGTCTGGTAAAGGAGATTAGATTTGCACATTGCTAGTACAATAGCTATCTCAAGGAAAATGCAGATGAAGTGTGATTAGATACCAGAAGGTTGGGAGATGCCTTTCATTTGGGATTTTTAATAGCTTCTTAGAGGAGGAAACATCTAGGTTTAGCTGTGAAGTCTACATGGGATTTAGATGTGTAGGACTGGCAGGAAGAGTCAAACTAGGAAAATGGACTGAATGTTTTCCTCTCCCACTAAATCTTACAGTGAAATCTCACCTCCAAGGTGATGGTATTAGGCGGTGAGGCCTTTGGGGGTGATTAGGTCAAGAGGGTGGCACCCACTGAATGGGATTAGTTCCCTTATATATTAATGCTCCAAGAGTCACTTTACACTTGAGCTAATGAGAACACAGCAAGAAGGTGCCCTCTAAAATGAATAGGCCCCCACCTCATACAGAGAAATTGCCAGTACCTTGATCTTGGACTTTCCAACCTCCAGAACTATGAGAAATAATTTTCTATTGGTTATAAGCTACCAGTCTATGGTATTTTGTTATAGCAACCTGAACAGACTAAGACAACGCCTCTCCACATTTCCCTACCCTTGTGGCAACTGTAAATCAAAACACGTCTGTATGCATTTCCACCATCCCCTGTGTGGTGGGTGGGAGCTATGGATGACTACAGCATAAAGGGGGAAGAGGATGGTAACTGCAGAGTTACATGATGGGATTTGAAGTTACATGAAGGGTAAGAGTGCTCTGTAAAGAAAAATATAGAATTTGTAAGATCATGGGTTGTTGAGAATTATGGCAGTGGAGTGGGGTGTGAGTTGGTGGTGGAAATCAAGGAAGAATGCAAGTTTGAGAGGATGATTGGATTACTTGTTTATGTGTGCTGATTTACTGTCCTGAATACAAGTGAGTTCTTATTACACTCTTAATTGCCATTTAGAAAGCTGTATCCACTCTCCTCCCAAGAGGCATAGGATAGGAACATGGCACCAATTTGAGGCAAATGGGGATAATTTTCAAAGAAGAAGGATCCTGGTGCAACACAAGAGCACCTCTGGGCCTCCCTCCACTGCCCCAGTGGTTTCTGAAGCCATCCCTTTCCCACCTGTTCACACCCACAACCATGAAGGAGGTATGCTCAACCCGGGGCCGAGTCCCTAGTCTAGCTCCACATCATCATGTGATATTAGGCGTATTTTGTCACAAAGACAGTGAGTTTTACTGTAAGATTCTCTGTCCACCATGAATGGAGAGAGGCTTAGGTACCAATCAGTGCTGTTCACTTTGTTCAAGGTCATATGGTTATCACTAAGAAATAAATATTCTTGGGAAGGTATACCCGGTTTTTCTCTCCCTAGAATGCTTCCAAGAATTTTTCCTTCACTTATTTTTGCATGGTTTGGGATAGACTTTTCAAAGCACTGTTTTGCTAATGGAGTTTGTGATGATTCATTTCAAGTTTCAAAATAAATTTTTCCACTCCAGCAGTTCAGTAAATCAGATTTCTCCCAACCATCACAACCTTATGCTCAAGCCACGGGCTGCCTGCAGCCCCATCCCCTTCTGTCTAAAAAGTGGCGCTAGGTGAAGACCATGCATATCACCTTCACAGACCCCCAAATTCATCAGGGGCCTTAGTGCCAGGCCACTCTTGGATTTTCCATTGGAATTTCCAGTCTGCATAGTTGAGCAACCTTCCTTGAAGTGGAATGTGGTTATTGGCAAAAGAACGTAAAATCAATTTTGATTTGAAAAAGAAATTTTCACATTTTTCCTGATGAAATTTGCAAGGGAGGTGATGGAAAAGAGAATGCACTTACCGGCTTTTAAAAAAAACTGATTCTGATTGATTCCTTAAAGTTCACAAATCCCTTGCATTTTAAGAAAGTGTGTCACATGGATATTTATATGTTGGCTTAATTACTAATTAAGCAACAGCATCTTTCAGCATTTTTAGAGAAGGCAATTTTATACTTTTTAATAAATGGGCTGCTGTAAGATCAGATGTGTCTTAAATAATAAAAAAGTAATAGTGCACATGTCTAAAATAAAACTCAGCATACCTCTTTGCCCATGGCATTGTTCAGTCATATTAGCTTAAAAGTATGTGTGACCTATACATTGTTGTGTAAACTTGGGTGTTTTGTATCTCCTTGATCCTGATGACTTGAATTGTTGCAATTCAGTTAAATTGTGGCAAGAACATAAAAAGTGTACATAACAGATGAATTCCCTGCCCTCATGGAACTTACACCTAGAGAAGGCAGACTTGAACAAGAAGTGTTACCAAAGGGTCCTTTGTATCCCAAGGAAACTTGAACTGAGCTGGACTTTAAGGACTGCTTCTTAGAGGATGTGGTAACAGATGAGTAGGAGGGAGTGAGAAAAAAGTAAACAGGAAGGTGCCTCAGCCTTGGGAATAGTGCAGGGGGGAGTGGCTCTGGGTAAAGGAAGGCACACGTGGGTGGGGGTTGAGGATAGGACTGTGAAACAAATTGCCTTGAGATGATGAGGATGGAAGCAGAAATGTCAGACTTCTCTGGACCTTTGAGAATATTGAGCCTTTCAGAGTGTAAGTGTAAGGGATGCCATGGACAGGTTTAGCAGGGAGCCATAGGATCTGATTTATTTTGACATAACTATACTGGCAAGGATATACTGGATATATATACTGGAATAAATATACTGGAGTCCATTTGGTTGGCCATTGCACAATCTTGTGTAGTAATAAATGTAGCAGAGAGGAGTAGGTGGATTGGAGGTAGAACTGGAAAGATCCAGAATTGCCCTAGTTAATGTTTTCCATCTCTACCAGATTATACTATGTCTTAAACCTGCAGGAAAATGTGCTATTGCAG